AAGGATGGAGGTAGCTCCATTTAGCAGGACCTTACAGAGTAATTATTTGTCGATTTTGCCAGCAACCAGGGTTTCTTTGACGTCTGGTCCACTTTCTTCAGTTTGTTGTTGATGCTGGTAGCATCCCTGTGCCCAGGCTCTGGTGAGGCTATTTGGTAGGCCAGTCCCCTTATCTAACAGGGCCTCAGTTTCCTCCTCTGCAAAGTGGATGTGATCATGGTACCTGAGTTCAAAGAGATGTGAGGCATCAATGAGATAATAATGTACCTACAGCATTGGGCTTAATGCCTAGCATGTATCAGTGAATGTTGGTGATTGTTATTCATTTGGTTGTTTTTACCACACCGTTCAATACCATCTTGAATTGGTCTTAAATAGGTCTGTGGGCAAATTTCATCTCTTCATGGAGAAGTCTTCCTACTGTACTGACCTTTGTGCCTGGCATACATTAGGCATATGATGGTTGAATCTTTGAGTGTTTTGATTGGTTTCTATTTTTACTTGTAGCCGTCTCCCCCAATACCCACTTGCTAATTGTTAGGCTTCCCTGACCTTCCATTTATTGAGTGCTCACTCTGTGCCAGGCACAGAGATAAAGTAGTATACGACAGAGCCGTACCTCCAGACCTCAGGTGGAAGCCAGCCAGGTCGTCCGAAAAACCAAGCTCCTAGGGCTCAATTCATTTGTGGTCTGAGCGCATCTGTTTAAAGTCTTCAAGGGGCCATGCCACGTCCAAGCCAACCAGGCCCTCCCTCTCCTTATCCTTTCGTATGATGCTTGTAGGCACTCCCCTGGGACCCCTGTCCAGCACTCAGGGATAGTCACCTCCTCCTTGCTGTTCTTGGTCAGCCCAGACTCTGCCTTGACCTTGCTCACCAACCTTGAGTCTCTTCTGTTGCTTTTACTGATGCCCAGAATCCTGCCCAGGATGTAGCAGACTTGTGGAGGGGAAGGAGTGGATGGGAGGTCTGTGCAACTGACAGCTAATGTTTTTGCGACCCAGAGCAAAGCATAGGCCCCTGTTTGGATGTTGGGGTCTGTGGTTCAGGGATACTGGGTTTTACCAGTTGGGCTTTTGGATATCTCTGGCTTTGACCCAGTTCTGGGACCCATGGATATCCCTTCCTATATGGTAATGAATATTGTTTGATTGTCACTCCTCCTACCCAATTCTGCTTGATTCCACAGGGCCAGACATTACTTTGGGGGGGAGGCTATATTTGGCACCCATCTCGGGACAAATACAGGAGTCGGCATGGCGGTTGTGTGAAGGTGTGGACCATTGGCTAGGCAAGGGATAAACCAGCAAGGGGAGGGAAGGGCCAGAGTGGTTTCTGCGGCCCCTGTGCATCCAGTGTGCATGGAGATAAGAGCAAACAGGCTTACTCCCTGTCTCCGCTGAAGGCCTCATTGAAGCAGCAGCAAGAGGAACTGCAGCTAGACTCAAGACTGGGTTGGGCACTTGGGTGAGAAATGTCAGTTCTGTTATTAGGAAGGAGCTCAGTGTCCTGGAAGAATCACCTGGGTCCTCACTTGGGCCCTGTGACTTTGGGCAAGCCA